CTGCATATCACAGGCAGGAGGGGAGGGCTTGCCCCACGGGATCAGAGGTGCAGTTCCTACCGCCGGCTAAGCAGGGCAAGGAGCAGACGGGGAAGTGAGAAGTCAGTAGGGAAGTCTGGAAAGGAATGTGGAGAACCTGAAATCTGGGCAATGGGGTAACAGTCAAAGCAGACAGCAGAGGAAGGGCGAGGCGGGTAGGCTGTGGGGCTTTGGCAGTGATGGGTGCACAGGAAGGGGAGCAGGGAAGGAGGAGGAAATGAGTCCCACCGGGTACACTGACCTTGCAGTTCCAGGCTCCTCTTCTCCTGTCTGTCATAGCAGCATGCACGCATGGGGTCTCCTTAAGAGTTCAGGTCATCACGGAGCCCTCTGTGCCAGTGTGCGCCTTCACCACCACCCCTAGTGGGCACGGCAGGGTGAAGTGGACAGGAGTGTAGTGTGGGACGGGGACAGCAGGTCAGCCGTCCTCAGGAGTACTCTCTGAATTCACATCAACACAAAGGAAATGCACTTGTGTACCCCAAAGAGGTATTACACAGCTCTTCAGATTAAAACACAACAACCTTCTTAATTCCAGTATAAGACTATAATCAACTAATTAAAGTTCCATGAAAGAAAAACTATAGCCTCCCCTTATCAATTCTGAAAGAGCTGACTGATAGTCATCAATTTTGCACCATTAGTAAAATAATCAAATTCAGATAGTCAAGCAATAAGCAATGAGCAATGTGAAAAGCAGCTAGGGGATGCGAAGATGTCCACATCCTCAAAGGAGTCATCATTTTAAAGAACATTTGTGAACACAAGTAGCTACATTAAAAGTCTATATTTCCTTAGTACTGTCAGGGAACTGTGCAAAACCCCAGGGCGGGAGACACCCATGTCAGCTGGGGTGGGAGAGAATTAGGAAGGGCTTCATGACCTGAGGTCACATTTGCAGAGGGTGCTATAAGACTGGACTGGATCTCCTAGGGCTAGAAGGATTTCATTCTGAACTCCATATGGATTCTTCCTGCCACCAAGAAATAGAAAGCTCCCAAGTCTCAAGCATACACAGTAGGGTCAAGCCAAGAGAAACAACCATTGTAATGGGGGGAAAAACATTTTTCGATATGGACTATTTCTTCTTTTTCTTTTTTGGAGATATTTTTGCTAAAAGGACTTGTACATTTGCCAGAGAGACAGAGAGAGAAAGTGAGAAATCACCCTCCTAGGGGGGATGGCCACCCTGTAATCTTTGCTCCTCCATTCTCCTGTCAGGATTTTCGAGCAGACACACACACACACACACACACACACACACACACACACACACACATACACACACACACATATTCACCCAGCATGAGTTTCAAGATGCCAGGTCCAGGACTCGAACAGAGGTCAACCACGTGGGAGTCCAGTGCCTTAACCCTTACGCCACCTGTGGCCCCTCCATATAGACAATTTCATAGAGTTCATGCTAATAGTCCTGCTTGGTCTGAGATCTCAGTGCAAAGAACCCCCAGTGTGTGCTGTAGATCTCACAGCCTTCCAGAGACAGTCGGCTTTGCTGGTGGTTATTATCAGCATCCTTCCATCAACTCCTGAAAAGGCAACATTCCAAGGAATCTACTCTTTCTGTGGGAACAAAATGTGGTCTAAAGTCAACGGATAGTTTGGACAATTCACCTTTGGCTGTTGGCCTCATTCTCTGTTTCCAGTCCTGTGGACCTAAAACACATCAACACAATTAGGTCAGATTTGTGATGGCAAATGCTCCTGACAGGCTTTGCATCTTAAATTCTCATTAAAATGAAGGCTCTTAGACCTCTGCAGCTTCTGGGAGATCCATGTGAATGTCTTGTTCAGTGTTTTGTAAAGTAGATTCTTCATAAGAACTGCACCCCCTCCCGGCCCTACTTTGCTGAAACATGCCCAGAGTTGACAAACTCAGTTTGAACCCAGACGTGCATCCGCAGGAGAATGCTCCATGGCTGTGCTGAGCCAGTCTTCTGAAGCACACTGTTCTTTGGAGCTGACTAATTGCTGGTGCTGTCAACTGATGAGAATGTAACAATTCCCCAAAGCTGAGGTCATGAACCCAGAGCATATTTTTAAAGATGTTTTAGAGAACCCTTTCAACATCCAGGTAGGGATGAGGAAAAATAATCATTGAAAAATAATTTAAATGGCTACATTTTGGTTCTGCCCAGGATTGGAGACCCACCCATAGTACAATGAGGGGATCATCATGCACAGTTTATTAGAATTCTCCTCAGAAATGGAGTTGTTTTGTTTTGTTTTGAGGGAAGCCTCATTCTAGAGTGAGACAGAAAAGTGCTTTGAAAACCCAAAGATCTCGAGCGTCTTCAGACATGACCTAACTGGCCCCAGCAGCCCCTTTTGGGCTCCTTCTTGGCTCAGTTCAGATGTTGGGCAAATTGGGAGCTGACCGGAGTCACGCCCCTGCATGGGCACAGCTGGGCATCCCCAAGGATGACACACGCTATGTGACAACCAAGAAGAAACACTGCCTTGGCAGCCTGGCCTGGGATTAGCAACTGCTTTCCTTCCGCCCCCACGGAGCCAAACGCCGGCAGGAGAGAAAACGAAAGACACATTAGAGCTGACTTCCACGGCCAGAGAGCTTGCTGTGGAACCTGGGAGTCCCTGGGAGTCCCACCAGAAGCCACGCCAGATGCCCGATGGTGGTGCTGCAGTAAATGTGACATTCTGAGAGACTGACCACGGGGAAGGTTCTGGGTTCGAATGTGAAGACTTCCCTGAGTACTCAGGGCACACATGTGCCATGGTCTCAAGCTCTTAGCTAAATAGTGAGGCTACAGGTGGGTCACAGAATCAAGATTCCCACCAGCTCTCTGTCTCACTCATGGAAGAAATAATAAATCAACTTTAAAGGAAAAAGAAAAGAAAGTGAAGAGGAAGCCACGCTGGGTGGGCTGAAGAGCGCATTCAGAAAGTGCTCCAGGCCCTCGGTCATCATTTCAGCTGCATCAGCCCCGATTGCATCTTCCTAAACTGGGCTCTACCTTCAGTGTGACCCACGGGGGTCAGGAGCCCTCTCTCAGATCACAGAAAGGGGTGGAAGAAGGCCAGATCTCTTGGTTTCAAAATTCTGAAGAAGAAAAATTAAACGATTAGGGGAACGAGGAAAGAAAAGGCGCAGGAGGAGAAAACGAAGCGTTGCAAGTATGGGGTGGCCCCGGCAGTGGTCAGCAGCCCTCATGAACCTGCTCACCACCTTGTGTACCAGTGGGAGCTGCCAACCACTAGGAGTACTCGTGGGGGCTGACGACCACTCTGGAGTACTGTAGGGGTTGCTGACCACCCTGCTGGGACCTGCCCCTTAGGAAGTGGTTCCAGACACACAAGAGAAGCCTAAGACACCACCATCGCTCTGTCAGAATGGAAACCTTGGGGAGGGAGTGCCTCACTTGTCCCGGGCACTGCGTTGACTTGATCTCATTCAAGAAAAAGTGGCTCCCGTCTTCCAGTGGGTAAACTGCTCCTGTCCTGCCCTGGGTCTGCCAAAGCAGGGACCCACTCAGCCTACTCCATGTCTGTCACACCAACCAGTCAGCAAGTGTCCTGTGACTGCCCACTGGATTCCTGGCGTGGGAGACCTCAGGGCAGGTGGGAGGCAGTGGGGGAGAAAAACTAAGGGACAGGCAAATCCCAGTCAACATGACAACAGTATTCTTTCCTTCTGTGATCCTAAGCAGGAATCTTCTGCTTAGTGTGAGACCAAATAAAGCAGATGAGAATGAGGCAGCATCGTCTTGTCCATCCTACCCCAAATGTTTAAAAAAAACCTTGGGGTTGAGTGTGACGCCTTTCTGGAGTTTAGGGGGATGCTGGTGCTGCTGCTTTCAGTTGCGGGGTGGATGGTGAAGATTGCCTGGTCTTACTCAACTTGCAGCGAGGAGCAGCACTGTCTTAGCGCCATGGCCACCAGTGCTACTGAGGAGCGGCAGTTATGGGGGACATCAGGGCCCATGGGGGGCGTGGGGCAGCAGCATGGAGCCCTAGAGCCCAGCAGGCCTGCAGCTGCACGCTGCTGCCCTGTCCCTCAGGGTGACAAACAGCATTTCTCCTGCGGGCGGGTGAGTGGCGGGTGAGTGGTATGTGGTTAGAAACGAGGATGAATGGCAAAGAGAAAGTCCTCACGCCTCTGGCTGAGGGCAACTGCCAAGGGCTGAGTGTGTGGGCTGACATGGTTAGGAGGGACCGTCTTGTTTTGTTTGTGAATTGATTCTCCTCTGGGTGTTCCCGACGAGGCTAAGCTCTTGCTGAAGTCAAGCGCTGACTGCCACTCTTCCTCTCGGGAGCTGCAAAGGGCAGCCCCAGGTACCCAGCCCCCCAGGATGGGCTTGATCAGGCAGGGAATTGGACGTAGGGTAGAGCTGTAGGAGCGAGTCACAAAAGCCGAAACCCCCCTATCCCTGGCAGCAGGAAACGTGAGCTTATCTTTCATTCCTCATGAGGCCCCAGGCAGGCTACCACACAGGATGTGACCACACAGACCTGTGCACTAGTTCCTGGGAAGAAAGCCTGAGCAGAATGGTTGGGTTTCCTGGCAGCCTGTCTTAGGCCCAGGGAAAACCCCAGATGGGTCAGCTACCCCCCACTCTCCTCCTTAGAGAGAGCTGGTCGACCCAGCCCTGGCCCTGGCTAGAAATCCTGCAGTGACTTCTAAGAGGGCCTCAGATCTCTTACTGCATTCTCCTTTCACAGAAATGAGCAGGAAATGGAGACAGGGACACAGTTTCTGGAACTAGGTCAAGCAAAGGGAATGGCCTGGAAAATCACCTTCCATTTGCCTTCAGAGGCTATTAACCATGAAAGGAAATTCCCAAAGCACGAGGTGAGATCACTGCCCCTGTCAGTCTCTACTAATAGCCTACATACTCAACACCATGGAAGGGCCCAAGGCACAGGGGGCCCCAGCCGAGGGCAGGAGAAGGAGGAGGCCACCCCTCACATTTCTTCTGCTCACAGACTTGCCCACCCAAAGCTCCGGTTCCGCTGTTCAAGCCACACTCACGAGGACACACGCTCTGATTCGTACTATGTAGGTCATTTCCTAGACGTCACCTGGATCTTCCTGGAGCTGGGACAAACTTCCCCAGTTCACCCTCTCCAGGAAGGTGGAAAGGAGACCCATCTGCAGACCCGCCAGCCTTGGGGCTTGCAGCAGTCACCGTCACACTGCATCCAACCCTCATGGCCTTCTACCTTCACACTCCACAATGTCATCTCTTCCTCTGTGCTTTGTCTCCAAGCTGATTACTGGGCAGGGTGCCTATTAATCTTGAGTGGAACGAAGTCTCCGCCACTTCCATTTGAAAAAGAAATAGCTTTGCCTTTTCCATTTGGTTCGACAGTATAAAATATTTATGATTCCTCTGGCACCTCCAAACGCCCCTCCCATCGATCCTCTCCATAGGCACTAAGTGCTCACTTTGAAGAAAGTACTTCCTGTCCATCAGGGACAGACCCCATGACATCTCCCATGAGCAGCTGCGCCCAGCCCGTAGGGTCTCCCGCAAAGTTCCTATGCTCACTCGGAGCCTCTTGAGAGTCCCAAGGCCCTGCAGCTAGTCTGCAACAGCCGGGGGCTCCCCTGGCCTCTAGGGCTCTCTTTTCCATCCCATCATCTTCCAGCAGGTGTTCTTGCTGCAAACACACACAAATACAACTGGCAGCTTGGGGTCTCCTGTGACTTCAGGGACTAAGTCCGGGCTGTTGGGGGTAGGGCTGATCTGGAAGGCCCACTCAGGCCCCAGGGACTGTGCTCTCTGGGCAGTTTGACTGACCTTGTTTTCTAGGAGGGGAAGCACCCACAGAGCTGATCCTGAAGCCGACAGGAGGTTTTCCTCCTGCCTCTCAGAAGTGACTCCAAGTCTCCCCTCACCAGTCCCTACAAGGTTCCTGCCCTCGTGGTATCAGCAACGGCTCCAGACGTGCTCCTTGCTGTGGGACAGAACATAGTCCCAGGAATGAGATGCTGGTTCCACTGACCAGGGGAGACTCAGGGCTAAGTCCCTGCACCCTTCTATGCCGCAGCTCTTGACCTGCACACTGAGGATGGCACCACCCAGTTATTAAGGAGGTTATAGCTAATACATAAAAGGAGCTTGAAACATTGCCTGGCACTTGGTGAGTGCTTGGTAAATATGAGCTATTACTGTTGGTGTAGTTGTCCCAACAAGGCAAAATCAGACCCAGCCATCAATGATAAGGGTAGGTCTTTGGTGAAGGTGGGAGGAAGCAGTGGGCTGAAACCCAGGGAACAAGGAGACCTTCACAGGGATAGCTGCTGCCTCAGCCTGGAAACCCCTTCTGTATCTTTTGCCATCAGCCAAAGCCAGCAGATGGAGCAAAGGCAGGATGGTGTTCCCTGGGCTGGCCCCACGGCCTTAGAGCCTGGCTGGTTCTCTACCCACAGGTGTTCAGTAAACCCTGACCGTGTGGGTGCATGCTGAACTTTCCCTGCATCCCTGTCTGGTTGGTTCTCTACCCACAGGAAGTGTTCAGTAAGTCCTGACCGTGTGGGTGCATGCTGAGCTCTCCCTGCGTCCCTGTCTGGCTGGTTTTCTACCCACAGGAGGTATTCAGTAAGTCCTGACCGCGTGGGTGTATGCTGAGCTCTCCCTGTCTGGCAACTTCTCAGTGTCTTAAGTGCTCTCCCAAAGGAAGCACACTCCTGC